TAAACATACACAAACAGGTCTGTGCAAGTGTATACCGATGACGTGGCATTATTCTGTTCACTACAAGTCCTCTCATTGGAATCAAACCTGATTTCCAGCTGGGGACATGTTGACATATACTGTCCATCCTCTCACATTGTTTTCATTATCATTGTTGCGAACCAATTTCAAATTGTACCTTTATTGTTCACAGATGATTGGTAAAAAAAAAGCTGATGTAAAAAAATGTACACAAGCAAAATGAACCAAACGAGTTCGAGAACTCAAACCAAGAATTCTGGGACTGACCTTGATGGGACGGTGCCACTCTGGATGTCGATACCGCAGCACCAGCAATGCCGCCACCGTGCCGCCATAGAACAGCCAGGCAGCAAAGCTGAAGTAATTCACCAGGGTCTCAAAGTCGCCGGGCAGCAACATCAAGAGAGCGATGAACGACTGAAGAAAAAAAAAAGATCAAAATGATATTAGCATAATCGGAGCCCTTGACCCGAAGTCATGGAGCGAATAAGCACGGGCGGGGGAAGTAACACGCACTCATGAAACTCGGGGGCCAAGTTTCTGAACACTGCCAAGCCATGGGTGTTACCACGAATTCTTTCCTCCCACTTTTTGGAGGAGGGAGGAGCACAGCACTTGGCAGTAGCAGACTCACAAACCATCAACTGACGAAGGGGCTAATTCAGAGGCATTCTCACGAGAACTGGCCTTTGTCTTCCCCTTTGCCTATTTCCTTTATTTCCAGTTTGTCTTTGTTGCTTTCCAATCTATCTGGGAGGGTTTTTTTCTGTCGCAAAGCCCAAGGGCCAAGCTTATCATTTCTCAGGATATGACCTCCGTCCATTTTTATGGAAACCATAAGAAAAAAGTTGCGAAGACAATATGCAAGCAGGATCATGTCAGTGCTACAAAATTAGTGACAAGCTGGCAGATTTTTCAGTCTTAACGATCACATCTTTACTGATACTTTTTCTCACAAAGCATATTAATAAGCGGGGGAACTGTATGTGGACTGACGTTTATACCAAATATCAAACAAACTGTGGAGACATCCTGTTTTTTACCTGGAAAGCCAGAGCTGGGAAGGGGGTGTACCTCTTGACGTGAACCATGGAGAGGATCTCCACCATGTGACCTTCACGGGCAGCCACGAATGTCAACCTACAGATTCCCAAACAAAGATTATTCCCTGGTCAGGGCAAATACAGGTACACGTGCAAGGCAAGTTTTTCTGTAATGATGTAACCCTAGACATGGCCTGCACCTTACTTTTGAGCTGGTAAGCTACAACTGGACGCCATTTTGTACCCGCAAAGTTCTTTTTTGAAACTTCTCGGTCTTCTCGTTTCCTATCCCTCCTCCAAATCCAAATACGACAAACCCCCCCCCAACTTCACAGGAGCTTTTTGTCATTAAATTTAGATGGAATTATCTGTGTTATCTCCATTTTCTGAAGGAATATTTAAAAAATCTGTCCATTTTTCTACACATTTTCTTGAAGTCCGATGACTCCATCACTTTCTCGGAAGAACTTGGGACAACACTCAAACCCTTTAGGTCCCTGAAATTTTTACACTGAGATTTGAGATTTTTCAACGATTACATTTTTTTCATCAAAACTACCCCCCATCTCAAACCAGACAAATGCCATTCCCCTTGCAAGTCAACCAGCTGCACCAGTCCATACTTTTGAAACAGAAACAAAAACAAACTCAACTCTTGTGAAAGAAATTATACCTTCTTTATACCAGTTGCTTAAGAAGAAAATATATGATATATGACTACTGTATGTGTGGTTGATGGTTATCTCTCTGAATGAGGTTTGTCTGACTTTTCGTAGGTTACTGTATGTCCCACTGAATTCTACGAGTAGAACTCCTTGAAAAGCCTGAAAAACATATTAACCTTCACATGAGGGAGGCAAAACAAAGTAAACAAAGGGGTTAATACCAGCTTTTGGGGAGCGGGGGAACATGTATTGTGGGCCGTACATGTACAACACAAGCGGTGTCATCAACATGGCATGACACAACATGGCACCTTTAACCGACAATGGGATGCTATCGGCAGCACTGATGACGACATGACGGGGGGAATTGGATTGGTGGCATGGACGGGAAGGGGGGTGATGCTGTTCTGCACGAGACTTATTCTGTGGGTGATCTTTTCTCCCCAGAACATTTTGATATTTCTCCCGGATCTTCTATTTGATTTTTGAAAGTCTTGAAAACCTCAGAACCTATAAAGAAAAATGCCCCTTTTCCATTTTAAGGACACCCCTTCCTCAAACATTTTTCAAGGGATCAAAGGGCCGGTTTTAGGGTATAGCTGGGGTTTCGGTAGGGCTAGCATTGTGACGGGTGGCACTGGGTAGGGGCTTAAGTTGAGATGGGGCAGGAATGGGGCTGGGGTATGGCATGGGTTTTGGCAGGGGTCTGGACTGGACTGGATGGTGCTGGGCTGGGGCTTGGATTGAGATGGAACAATAATGGGGCGGGGGTGTGGCTCGGGCTTGGGTGGGGATCGGGCTTGGGTGGGGACTGGATTGGGATGGGTGGTGCTGGGCTGCGGCTTGGATTGAAATGGGACAGGAATGGGGTTGGGTTGGAGCTAGGTTGGGGTTTACATTGGGAGGAACTGAATAAGAGCTCAAAGGGACAATTTTCAGGGAGCATGATGAATGTGGGGGCAGCCTAAGCATAAGATGCGGGACAGGGACGGGGGAGGAGAAAAGTTAAAGTACAATTACCTTCCTGACGTGAAGAGTGACCCGTTGGCGGCACCAAATGTGGAACAGCAAACAAAGAATGGAATGACCCATGCCATGGGACCAAGGGAGCGTTCGGCGAGGGTCTACAAAGCAATACGGTGTGACACAACAAAGTGACGCGACAAAACAAGGCAGGTACCGGTGGCAACAATGGACAAGAGCTGCTTTGTGAATCTGCATTGAATCCTTCCAAGACTACCTGTATTTGTTGTTTGCTTGTTTGTTTTTCTCACTTGGAACCAGTAAAGCAGTAGATTTGAACGTCTTGTGCCTAGTCTTCCTCTTGTGGTAGTACAACTGCCATGAGCACACCACAACTTGTACTTTTTTTTTAACCCAAAACATAGGACGCAGGAGATTTGATGGGAGGGCATGAATCTTTGAAGAGCTGGCTGAGAAGAAAAGCTGGCATTTCCAACTTTTGTCTGAATTATTGCATCAGTGAGCAAGGCAAAATGTTTAGGTTGGTAGTGTTGGAGTTACAGAAGTAAAATTCGTTCGCTTTGTAGAATCATGCCTACTTGTGATTCAATCTCGACACAGTCATGGGAGTTGGTGAGACATGGAGGGTGGGGAAGTCATTCAGTGTGATTCAACATAGCAAAACGGCTGCAGCAAACATGAGGCAAACATGAGACAAATGGAGAACATGGATCAGTGAGCCAAGGAACCTGAGTGTTAGTACAGACAGGTGATTGGGTGGAACTGGATGGAACCAGACTGAACCGGACAGAACAAGATAGGGCAAGACAGGACAGGTGCAAAACATCTGCAAATGGTGCCACACGCAGGCAAGACACAACAAAAGGGCTGGTGGTAGATTGCAAAAGGCAAAAACAACTCAACACCGAAGAAACACTGTCTCAATTCCATTCACTTGAAGAAGCCCCTTGACAAACTTGTAAACTGCTCCCACTGCGACATTGTGTCAAGTAAACAATGGCGGTGAAATAAGTCACAAAGAACCAGTCTTTTACCTTGCCAACAGTTCATCTCTAGTTTATATCTTACACTGGGTTAGTAAAGAAAACAGCTGACCCACTGCATTGCAGAAATAAAGCTTCTGAGGCGGATCCCTCAGAAAAAAAAATAGAAAACGACTTCATGTTCTGCTACTTCCAAAGGTGACAGGACAGGTTTTAACTGACATTTTCTTGTTGAAGGAAAGTTATACAAGTGTTTGTGGGGGCTCCTTCGAGTGAAATTGTATTGACTGAGAGTGGTTCTTGGATGCTGGCGCTGCCTGGCCAATCACTTGTAGACTTGTACCTTCCCGCCGTGAAACAGGTGCCGTTGGCAGCCCCAAACGTGGAGCAAGCCACAGCCACGGGCATGAGCCACGACATGACGCCCAGGGTGCGGTTGGCGAAGGTCTGTCAGCACCCCCGTCAGTTACCCATCATGCCAGAGAGTCAGGGTTAAGGGTGGGTGGTGGTGGGGGGGAAATACATTTTCAAAGGAGAGGAGGAAGTAAAAAAAAAAAAAGAGGAAAGGAAAGGAAAAAAAAACATTAGGGAAATCCAAAGCAACTGCCGCGACAACAAATGCCCAGGTAATTAGGGATAGGGTCACAATAAGCCTGCCATTTTGAAGGTCATCCTTTCTTTCTTCTTTTTTGATATAACCTTTATGACAGGCCACTTTTCTTTTGGGTAATCTGGAAATGACTGAGTTTTTAATTTTTTTCAGAGAACCATAATTTTACTCCTTGGATTGGGGATATTATTTCTTGTGTTTCAAGTGCTGAGAAATCAAAAATCAGCAGGCCATGTGATAAACTTCCATTCTTTGTTTTATTTTTATGTCAAAATGCCTTTTTCATTGTACATTTGTGAGAATACAACACCAAAGGTACTATAACAGCAAAATGATTACTGCATTTTGGGGGGGTTCAACTTTATTAAATTTAAATTTTATTTTCTTTCTGTGGGGTATTAGGTAAGGCTTATTGTTCCCTCTCGAGGCAAAACTTGTCTCGCCAGTCAAACTGGAAATACCTGTCAAAGAAACACTGATGTTGAAGTGTTAGTAACGACAAGTCAGATACAGAGCAGTGCGTTAGGTTATACTCAAAAAGGAAATCATGATGATTTATCTCGAGGGCATTCCAGAAACGTGCTGAGCATCTGAAACAGATGTTAAAGGAACGTAGGTGCATGTTTCAGGTTCCTCATAAATTTTTCTGGACATGCAATGAACTGCAATTCATGAGTGATTAGTTTTATAGTTACATGTTTTGTGACTAGAAGTGAAATACTAATCATGCTCGATGCTATTTTAAAATTTGATGAGCCAATTGTTTTTGGAGGATACTTTGCAATGACAATTTCAGCTGCGATTGGTAAAGTAAAAAAAAAAATCAATTTAGCAATGAAGTGACTTATTCTCTTAACGCGACATAAACACTCAATTTTAAGGTTTGGGGTGAAATTTTTTTTGGCAAATGCGTAACCAAAGCACATTAAACTTTTTCTGCAAGCAACTGACTAGTTCATCCTCTTGCCATAAAAACACCTGAAGTTTAACTGTTCTGGGGTGGAACTTATGCAAACGCGTAACCAGCACACATGATACGTTTCTCCAAGGCAAAACAATTAAATGCTTGGTGTCATCTTCCGTTTCGAATTATTTAAATGCAGACAGTTCAAATAAACATGCGGGATTCATTAACAATGAGAAACAGCATCCTCGTCCCATTTTGTGGGGCAGTAAAACACAAAGACAAAGTCATGAAAAAAATCCAAAAGAATTTTTTTATGATTGCTAGCTGCAAGAATGGCAGATAAGCGTATGTACAATCAATATCTCTGAAGAGTGTCACTGACAACACACAGAGAAAGAGATAAACAAACAGACTGAAGCGACAATGGCCATGTGCGTATCATGTCCCTCCCGGGTAACTCTACAAACAGTTCATACCGTAAGTGGAGGGTACTCCTTAGTACCTTTTCCAATGCCCACATATTTCTGAGTTTCTCTTTTATTTCTGAGTTGTTCATAAAATGCAAAACGTTCTTCAACTGTGATTTCTACTAGCTGCAATTAATGCCATGGGATGTCACCAAATATTCACATTTGTCTTGGCCAACAGTTGCCCAAGCAGCCAACTATAAACAAGAATACCAAGCCAGGACGGCCATACGGATCACGACAGGTAAACTCAGCCTTGGTTTTGGACTTGCCTGGTCAGCATTTGGCCTTTATTCACTTTCGTACGCAACAGAAATGGGGGCATGAGACTTGTTACTATCAAAGTGCCCTCAGTGACAAAGGGACTCTTCAAATCTCATCTCTGTCTCCAGCTCTGTCCTCAAACTCAGATTCCAGAATCATTTCAAAACATTTACTGTCGAGCCTTAAAAAGACAACATTTGTATCTTAACCTTCACATCCGACATTTTGCTGTTTCAGTGGGAGAAAAGAAAATTTGCAAGAGCCAAAATGTCTCATCTTGGCTGTCTAATTTACTGAAACTCTAAGGCTTAAAGCCGGAGACCAAGACAAGCTTTTGAAGACCACCTTGGCCATCACGAGCAGGCTTCCAGCGCCCTCTCTAGTGCTGCAAAGAAATGCCAATGCAGACACTGTGCAGACAGAATACCAGGGACACGCAACACAAACCACCAGAATAAGTAAGTCATAACAGGCGTACTCACACTGACACGGAACATGTGACAAACACACACACAAACCAACAAATTAAAATGAGATGTGACAAAATGTCAAATTCTTTGGCTAAGTTTTTTCAACATAGAGGTCCAAACCTAGCCGTGGGGTCATGGTACATGTCCCTCAGCAGGACAGTGAGCTACATGTATGATAGGACTTCTCCACCCAGGAGCAAAAGTGAGCCTGTCGTGACCACATAAAAAATCCAAAGCCAAATTAAAGAAAGCCTTTATGTTGGTCCATTCTACTCATGTGAGGAATTCATTCAACTGAGCATGCTCACAGCTAACATTTTCATTGGGTGGAATGATCACTTATAACAACCGGGATTCGTTTGCTGTGAGTCAAGTTTCATTCTCCGACAACCATGTATTTCTATGGAAGATCAGACCACTTCAGTGTTCACACTGACTACTGTAGCAACAACCGTCAAGTGTTATGAACTTCTGATAAAAATGTAACGGGCCAGAAACATAACACAAGACAAAACAAACTAGACAACAGACAGTGTCATACAGACCCAAAGGAATATAATAAGAGAGGAAAGCAGAGGAGGCATCTGACAGCAAGAAAGAAAGACAGGGTTAACATGCAGAGATAGCCAGAGTATTAAGCCCAGATAGAGATTGGGTACAAGACCAAGATGTCATACCACAGCCACGGCACCAGACTGCAGCAATTCCTCTGGGGACATGACGGTGAAGTAGGCGATGTTGACGAGCAGGTACAATATGGTCACCAGCGGGATACCGATGATGATAGCCAACGGCAAATTCCTGCAACGACAAAGTCCAGAATTCAATCCACCTTACAGAAAGACGGGGTCATTTAACTTCCGGCAAAAAAGGCTAAACTTGAGTCTTTCTAAAATCAGAAGGAAGCCAGCGCTGATATTGTTTGGTTAGTAGCACCGTACTAATTGTTATGCTTATGTCTTTGAGGACTGGAGAAGAATTAAGAAGAGGACAAGGATCCGATCAAAGAGTTTGTTACAGAGACGACTGCCAGGCTTGAACTAGATCAAATTCACACCAAAAATAGAGAGTAGAAACAAGATTTCCAAGGATTACAAATTTCCTTCAATATTAACTCGGCCATTTCTCAGTTCTTATCCAGTGCCTGAAAAGATGATCGGAGATGCCTCAAAATATATTTACATGTACCTTGTTAAAAGCCTGAAAAATTAACTCAACATTTGAAAGGATAGCCTGAAATCAGGCTTTGCCTGACAACTGGCATCCCTGATTTCTTGGCAACTTTTGGTGGTCTTTGACAGAAGGGAGCAGTTTCCTCCTGAGGTGAACTCTTAAGTGCTCAACTGATCCGAGTCACTTGTACCGATGCTCAAGTCAGTCTTAGGCACTGCCTGAGTTACTCAGCTACAACTAGAACCAAGATGCACCTCTAGGAATGCAGCTAGGACGTGGATGCGGCCATATCCATGGATTCGTGTCTTACTGCCACCATAACCTAGTATATCTAAGCATGGCCTGAAGCTCAAGTTGTGAAAAAACCACAACGCAAGATCTTGCTCACCTATATGGCTTCACCAGCTCCTCGGTGATGTAGTTTAGCTGGTTCCTGCAAGGCAACAAAGAGAACGATCGTCACTCAACGTCACACTTTTATCGCACTCTTATTTAGGCAAAAATCAGGTGTGTACTGATGCTCTTCAGAAAAAAAATGGCACCGACAATGTCTCTGGCCACTCACCATCCGTCGTAAGCCCACAGTCCCTGGTAAAATGCGATTCCGTAGGCAAAGACATTGGTGGAAGACCCAGTGAACGACACCGACGGTGATAAATACCTCACCTCGCCTGGAAAACGACAAAAAGGTAAAGCAAGGGGGCCACCAAATTTAGACCTAGAAAAGATGGTCCTCAGAATGTTAACTGCTATACTAAACTCCCAGCAATTCATGCTAGTCAGTTGTGATTGGCTTCTTTAGGTAAGATCTGCTCAAAGGATCGACTCATTCTGGCAGGCTGAGTCAAATATCTATCAAAGGATGCTGGTACTGTTAAACATATACCTTCAATTTGAAAGGAGATTAACTTTAAGCATGCAATCATTTCTTACAGCAACTAACTTGGGAAAGGTTCAGGTAATGCCAACTGGTCTCTTTAAGAGTGAATAAGTGAAAATGAACAATCATTTGCACCGGTTCCCACAGAATGAGTTTTATGGCAGGTTTTCTGACAGTACATGTAGTTTATTTTAATTTGCGTTAATAGACAGTGCAAAGTGGGCTTTTTTTGGTTTAGGTGTATCATCCAATTTAGCATCTAGGTGAAAGTGGACAGTACATGCATATGAAACTAGGTCAATGTTTCCTGATGATGTACCCTGTGCAAGATTCTCTTTCGAAGAATTCCACTCAAAAGTGGCCTTGGAAACTTGTGCCAAACTTTGCTGCGTTGGATCACGATTACAAATTTTTCTACCAGTCAGGGAAAGATACAAGTTTGTTTCCTTTTTTTCACCCGACTGACCTTGGATAAGCTTGACGAAGCCCACTACAATGATGATGATCAATGCAAGGATCTTGGCAGCAGTGAAGAAATTCTGTACCGACGTGGCCCACTTGACGCTTGCGCAGTTGATGAACACGATCAACACTGCATATGGGCCACACATAACAGAAGTCCAGAAGCAGTCAGAATATTTGACAGAAATCCCACGATTAACACACACAACAAAACATAACTCATGCTAAAATTGAAAGGTTTGTATCTGCCCAGTTGTTATATTCTGAAACAAGATCTACGAAAAATAAACATCACTGACTGCCCTCGGGTGACATTTGAAGTGCCAAGCATGCCTGAAAGCCTACTTTCTGTACAATAATCTGACTATCGGCCATGTGGAAGTTGTTCATTAGACAACATGTGATTCTCACCTCTTTGTTAGACCCCAATGAAACACATTCCGCTCACAGAGAGCAATAATATTGATGCCAAGTTGCATACCATTGACTCAACATATTCACTTGGCATTGCGTTAACGCTGCTGTGACCAGTTGTGGAATAATGCCCTATGTTCCAAATCTTTTTTCCACTTTGATATGTGATTTCCACTGCCTTTATAATCTGCATGACCGTCGTCACCGTGAGAGACGACCATGTCAGAAGATTCCAGTCAGATAACACCCCCTCTCCAAAATTACTGTCACTACTTACACTCACCACATTAATGCCAACAACGGGCTAAAGATAATAGCTTCATCCAGTTCATTACAGCAAACAATATTTTGCTGGGGAAGCTAGGAAAAGCAAGCTTTCCTCCAGATTGGGCAGATACAAACCGTTCTCTTAAAGGCCAATTTAAGGCATTTGTAATTTACCATATTCCCATTCAGTAGAGTGTTTGGGTCAAGAGACTCTTTTCTGAAGGTTTGACAATTTTTCGAAGCTCCACAAAAGTGCAGACATGATCCCCTTCTCAGAAAATGATTGCGACGATCAAAACTTCCAGACTTTGAACCATGACTTATATACATTCAAATGCAAAAAAGACCACAGTATATGGTAAAAAAAAACTCTGCTTGTCAGAGACAAAGCTAAATCAGCCTCTAAGACTTAATAGAAACTAAAATAAATTTGAATTGGTGAGATACTTGATGTGTTACCAGTGGGTGATCATGAGTACATGGATGGTTAAGCTTTGAATTATCCATTGGGTGTGATTACATGTAACTCAAATGGCGATACGATGATGCCCAGGTAATCAAAAAATGTGATAAGTAACAAAATGAGTAACAAGGGTAGTTGGTTTATATTTTTGATACCCACGAGACGTTTACAAGAAAAAGACAATCCAATTGCACTGTAATACTGGAGTAAATATTTTTGAATCTCAGCATCTGAATTTCTTTTTTGAGGGGACACAGAAATTGTATCGATTATGCCAAATCCAGTTCATGCCAACTTGTCCCCCAGTTGCTGGATCACTGCATCATAACAAGGTGGGCAGTAGACGTGTCAGATTTTGAAGCAAAGCTTTACCTACGACGGCGAGTATTTAAAGGTTGGGGGGACGGATTACTTACGTATGGCCAGGGCCGCAAACATTTTGATGGCTATTTGCGGTGGGCCACATTCGCCGCTGAAAAAGGGTTCAGCCACGTAGGCCCCAAAGGCGAGTGCAATGATGGACAAACTGGAGGGTTTGATGACGATGGTGGACGTCCAGGCAAAGAGATAAGCGGGGACGGGCCCCAGAGTCCACAGGTAGGCGTACTCTGCCCCCGATTTGGGGACCACCGTGCCTAGCTCTGCGTAACACAGCGCCCCTGGCGAACAGGAGGTGATAGTGGAGAGGTGATGACACCAAAAATGATTGTGATGATATATCAATATGTACAATGAACCAAAAGGTGATAATCGGTAAATGATCAGTGCCTCGATATTCATCCAAAAGCTGCTCCATAGACAGCTACAAGGGTCTGCAAGATGACATTTGAATGAAAATGTCTGGCTTATTTTTGGGATCATTTAGGACCAGAGAAGTGGATTTAATAGCATGTAAATCTATGCAGCAATCAAGCTGCATTTCATAACTACAGGCAAGTCACCCAATAAACCTGTACATAAGCTGGGGTAGTTTTCAATTTAAAAACTACTCCAGATTATAAACTCTGGTATCCAACAAACCAAACACTGCAATTTCTCAGTGTATGTTTTTCTCTCGGATGGAACGAGGCTCACACTGATAAAGAAATTTATAGATGAACGTACATGCATAAATGAACACTGATTACAGGGAATCAACCTTTTAAGGATCACTACCCAAGAGTTGTGGGTTACCATGGAAAGCATATCTGTACATGTGTGACAGCAGTTGACATTCAGTGGTGTTACCGTCTTGACTTCTAACATGACACCATCATGATTTTCCTAGCAAGGCAACGACAATACAGAAAGAAATATCTCCATCCCGACTGAACCGTGAGCTGGATGATATCTGCTCCATGACCAACCAATGACAGGAGAGTTGACAAGAACTGGCCAATTGCAGGTCCCATGCAGTACTCACTGATACAGCTGGCTGCTAGGATCTTTTGGGCCACGACCGGCTGGCCGCACTCGGCGTTAAAGAATGGCGCGGTGGCGTAGCTGGCAAAGCTCAGCGAGATGATGGACAGAGAGGATGTCTTGATCATGAGGGTTGTCACCCAAGCCATCATGAATGCCACGACGTTCCCAAAGGTCTCCTTAAGGTAGTAATAGTCGCCTCCAGACTTGGGGATGAGGCAGCCAAGCTCAGCATAACAAAGAGCACCTTGACAACCCAAAACAATTACGAACCCTGTACTCGGGGCAAGATCAAGGCTTCTGTGGGCACCATGCTCTGCAGGATCCTCCCTGGGCACAAGGAGTACTCAACTGGACTACACTCAGAACTGACCAGTCTAAAATTTCCCTTAAACTAAAAAATCAGAGAACAGTGAGCATGCATAAGGGGTGTGTTTTTCTGACACACCTGCACCTATACTTTTGAGGGCCCTCAACCTTTTTGTAGGCCCTAGGGAGAGTGCCTGCTAAGCTTGCTGAATAACCCCTCCTGGCAGTTTTGACAGGGGATTTTGCTTCACGGCACCCTTTATGGGTGAAGCAGACATAAACCAGAACAATCAATATTAAACTATCAGTGGGTCTTTTAAGAATTCTGAATGATGTTCCTTCAACAAGATGGCTTTGCGTCAGGGAGATGTAAATTAATTTTGGATTTTTTGCCCTGCCTGACGTGTATTTAATACTGTATACTCAGTGTATGCCCCCGAAGGCTTGTGAAAAAAACCACAAGCGTACTCGGGTGGGACTCGAACCCATGACCTCCTGCTTACTAGTGCTGACGTCTTAACCACTTGACCACCGAGCTGCCGGTGCCAACTAGCTGCTTTAAATCAGATAAGCATCCTGATGAATCATGAAACCACACTTCGATATTCCAACTGAAGCATGCAACCAGTTCAAGCCGGACGGAACCAGTTGAAACCAGTTCCTTTCCTGTAGAGACAACTGCCAGGCATATCAGGGTCACTGAATAATTCACTGCATGAGCAAAACAAAGAGTCTCTCCCAATAACTTTTGACCAAAAATGCAGCGGCAACAACTTGTACAATATCTCAGCGTCCGCAACTTTGACAAGGAATTGAAGAAAATGTGACAGGTTTCAACAACCAGTGACAACGTTCAACATGATTCCTGGACGACGTGAATAACCGGTGAAAGTAAAACAGATCACAGATTACTCAACAAGATATGCGAAGAATTTGTAACTCTCTCAGCAAGTAAAAATGACGACGACTTGAGTCTTGTGACAGATTAAAGGGAAGGTTACCAGGGACACCAAGCAAGCCCCTTGGCTTTCGATTTTCTGTGCATTTTTATCAAACATTTAAAATTTGCTTCAAATAGAGATATTGCCTTTAGGACTGAGGATAATGACTAAAAGGTTACAGAAAATCTTTCTCGAGAAGGAGCAATAGTCAACACACAGCGCTGGCAGTCCATGTCATTCATAGGAACATGTAAATGCCCCTCACATGCAAGCACAGGTGCACAGCCACGTAGACGGGCCACCAAGTTTGTGCATGCAACTCAAAAGACTTTTACTCTTATGCGGAAATCTCGTTTCGTGTTATCGCTACAAAGGAAAGGATATTGCCTTGAAAAATAAAACTCTTCAAAATAGAAGAAACACATTCCCAGATAGATTAAGCTCTTGTGATTTCAACACGTGAGGTTTCAGTGTTATTTATTTTTAATTTGATTTTATGTGTCGGAAGTATTTGTCAAAAAAATCCATTTTTTTGCAGAAACATTCGGCAACAGAAAATCGCTTTACCGAACAACCACTATACCAAACATTTTGTTTAGTTCCTGCCATGATTATGATAGCGGTGTTGCACTGTACTCGGGATGAAGCACGGAACATTGTGGTTTGTGTCTCAAGTGACCAGTGGCTAGTGTTGTAACAGGTAGTTCAGAGATGAAAGTGCTGTTATGAATATGATGAATTGTCATTGTTGACCAATTGGATGGCTGTGAAGGGTGACCAATTAGAGTGATTCCTGAATACTCACAAATAGCGACAGCAGCCAGCACTTTGATTAAAATGACCGGTGGGTCACATTCGCCCTCAAAAAAGGCAGACACGACATATGTGCCAAATGATATAGAGATGATCGCCACTGACGACGTCTTTATGACGAAAATTGAAACCCAAGCAAACAAGAAGGCAATCACGGGTCCAAAGGCTTCCTTTAGATAGGCATACTCTCCCCCCGACTTGGTCACAATTGTTCCCAGCTCGGCAAAACAAAGTGCACCTTTTCAAAAGAAGAAACATGTTAGAGATATAAACCAAAATAAGAACCCCCAAAAAAGGAAATTTGGGGTTAAATCCTGCAAAAACGTTTCAACAAACTGAATTTGAAAATACAAAGAAACGTCAAACAGACCTCCACCTTTGATTTGTTGGGGTCAACTAGCATGTATACCGGTATGGTAACAATAAAGACGATAAAAATCAAAGCCCCTCTATTTTTCAACAATTGAATAAAAATAAATAATAAACCACTGTAGCAAATGCTCAGGGTTACAAACAAAGTTGTTTCTGCTTTCCAAGTTCTCTTCACGAGAAAAAACCATCACAAGTTAATGTCACATTTGTACCTTTAAGCGCCGGGGAACATGCAACCCTCAAATCTCTTTTAACTGTTACGCCCAGGCAACACTAGCTTCATTCAAAATTCACGGTCAGGCACCTGACTTCTTTCTGCATCCTAATTCCAGACTCCTTTCCATCTTCGACCTAGTGCCATCTAGATCTCCCCTGGGAGGGTGCCTCCCCCCCCCGACAAGGGCACTTGGAAATCTTGGAGATGTCACGTTTGTGTTGCTAGAAACCCCACTGTATGCGTCAGGAATAAGTGCCAATACGATGCCCCCTCCCCCTCGACTAGTTTGCAATTTTCTTGTCGGAACGACCCGGCAGGTGTACATTTACAATGAGGCTGGCACTGCCAAATCTGTCCTGCCTTTTAATCTCTGATAACAAATTATGGATTTCAACATCTGCAAGTCAGGGGTCTAGGACAAGCGGAAGTACGAAATTGAGGAACCAAAGTGCATGTTTGCCATCACCCAAGTCTGACCGCTCAAAAAAAACCAAGATATTACATTTTTACATGTACAATCTGAACTTAAAATGCCCTTGAAACGTTCACCCTTACCAGCTCACTTTTAAAACTGAATTTCACTGACTGCAATTAAGTGTGATTAAAATGCCCTTTGAAAAAGGTCAAGGTCTCCAGACCTGTCGCTAATGTTACTCTAGTTATGTGCCAACGTATTTGCAAATGGCAAAGATCTAGACCTTGTTTTGGACACAAGATTTTGACATGCGGTAGCCTAACCCGCTTGAAAAATGTACCCACTTGTTTCTTTACCCCAGTCCGCCTGACCTACAGCACCCTAACTTAACCCCAAAACACCCAAATGCACCCAGTTGTTGCCTTACTCAAGTCCTCCCTAACTAAAGTACTCCAGTTCAACCCCTCAACACCCAAATGTACCCAGTTGTTCCTTTACTCTAGTCTTCCCACCTACAGCATCCAGCTTCACCCATTGATATCCAAATGCACCCAGTAGTTGCCTAACCCAAGTCCTCTCCAACTGCAGTACCCCTAGTTCAACACAACACCAACATGCCCTGAACTGCCACAGTTCAACCCTTCAACACCTACCAACAACACACAAAACACACAAATGTACCCAGTCATTCCTTTCATATCCTAGCCCTCACCTACACTACGCCAGTTAAACCCAAACTGCACCCAGATCTTCTCCTTACCCATAGTGGCGAGTATGCCGCACAGCAACCACACAACTAGACTCATTCCTACACTGTCCGTCTGAGTCAGGACTCCCTTTGGTGACACGAAGATGCCGGATCCAATCATGGTACCAACAATCAATGCTATACCACTGATCAGGCCCACCTGAAACGAAAAACCGGGGAATGACAAACGGTTTATTTTGGCCCACAAACGAGCAAAAAAGGGGAGAAAATTTTCAGAGAGAGCCAAGAAATTTTTCCACAGCCACAAAAGCTTGAGTCTGTCACCAGCTCCATCTCAGACCTCCAAACCCTCTGCAGGTCCTTTATGTTCTGAACACATGAGAACAATTGCCATTTTGACTTCGCTTGGCACCATCTGACGTCCATGTTTATGAAGACAAACCATCTTGAGTAAAAATCACCAAAGTCGCTGGATCCCACAACAAGAGAGATTGCATGACAAAGAGCAAATTGAGCTCTTTGTTGGGTTGGATTTCTGAGGGTGGCATCGTGACGAAAATGGGCATGGCATTAGCAAAAAATGTCAAGCGGCTCCAACTGATTTGAATCGATTCCTTTTCAAGTCATTTAACCTATTGACATCAAATTTTCGTACCCGAGAAAGCTGCCAGGAACGGGTTTTTTTACCCGTAAATTTTTCAACCTTGCAATTGTGCTTTGATCCAACCAAACATGACGCATTAATACATCAACCGCAGAAATGAAAAAAAAATTCTTAAATAAGTGTACACGTCCTCCGTGGAACAAATAAGGAAAATTATACGTGTTTACACGTCATGTGGTTAAAATCTCAAAAGTGGCTCTGACGGCTTTCAGATTCATTTTGTCAGGATGGGTCATAAATTCTCCCAGCACGGCTCTTTTTTCCCCACCTGTCTCTTCAGCTTGACTCCCTTCCCGTCTCCCACCGACACTCCATCACCGTCGAGTGGTGCCTTCTTCTCCAGGGCCTCTGTCCCGCCATTCTTCTTGGGCTCCAAGGAGTATTCTCCCCTCCTACCTTCCCGTTCCCGTACCTCGGTCATGGCCGTTTGGAGACTATTCCCTAGTGGACAACCAAAAAAAAATAGGAGCCAGGAAATGAAACATTACAGCTTGATGTTGCAAAGCGATAAGAGTATTTAGTCTCAGTCGTGGCTACAACTGGTACATGTATATGGGAAATGGTCAAACACACCCTCGCGCATTGTGATTTGGCCAATGTTATGAGATCTTTAGGTTTTTTTTTTACGTAAGAGTGCAATTGAATTGTGCATAGTCATTTGTCATACCATGACAAAATGCCCCAGGGGAAAAATGCATAACAGTGTTGTGTTCAAGTCCATCACAGGTTCTTTCACAAGTCCCTTGACAAGTCCAGTCACATCCCTTCACAAGGCCAGTCACACGTAACAAGGTCAACAATGACAAAAGAGTGCTTTTGTCACAGCTTATTTGAATAGCTTGTGAATTGGCTTGAGACAGAATGACTTTGTGATGGACTTACAGGGACTTGTGATGGACTGGAATACAACTCTCTCGTATTATCTACAATAAGATCATTTGACAAGGATGTTCATGGAGGTGTGCTTGGTCACACAGACAGGAAACTCAGCGACAGGAAAACATTGCCACACATCTCCTATTACATTTTCAATTGCCAAAAGATTTCAGTAAACCCATGTAATTAACTCCATAGCTTGTACAGATTGACAGAACACACTTCTCGGGGGGCGTTTGATACTGAAAAGGTGAAACAGTTATCGCGACTGAGCAATAACAGCTTTCAAACGATCCGTGCTCTCTAACGATGGATAAAATTAAGTTACAGGATCCACCGGCAAGAATACCAGACTTTCGGGCAAAATCAAGTCTAGGTCTACAAGAAGTATCCCTTTTTTTTTGAAAAGCAGCATTACGGACGTTTTAGTTTGCAGTCTGCAAACAGATCTGACAGAGGGTCAGTCTGAGGTGTCAGTCTAAATGGTTTTTATCAAATTACCATGGGCCTAGGGCAATAATGATTATAGTTCTTTGCATGCATGCATTCGGAAGCTATATCAGGTCTTGAATGTTTGAAACAATCAGACTTTGAACGAAGTAAATGGCAGAGTAGCCCTTCGGTAATGCCTACAGAGCTCACAGAGGTTACAGAGGTTAAACATTATATCTGCTGTTTACGAAATGTGTCCAATAAATAATGAAAAATGAATGTCAAGTTTAACAATGCTATCGTTTTATGCATTCTTTTCTTCCAACCACATCGATGTATACATCCCACACTTTTTCTACAAGTTTCAAATATTTGAACCACAGCCACAAAATAGTTCCGGAAATGTCAGGGAAGATGCACATTAGACCAAAGCAAGCTGGGCCTGAGCCAGCGAATGCATGCCAAGAGATATTCGTCTTTTTCTGTGTGCGTAACGACCCGCTGCTTTCTTGAATTCTTAATAATTTAGATCTGGATGTATGTGCCACCTCATAAATGCACTCGTGCCAAACAAGAAATTGGATCCCCTATTTTCAGTACCTTTGAATTAGTTTACAAAGCACAGATTTACCGAGTGTAAATGCTGAGATAAAGTAAGCCAACCACAAACACCCAACTACACCATTAAGACACGAATGGCAACAACTGAACTCTTGAACCAAAAGTGAAAGTCTATCATGATGTTTGCATGGGAAAAAAATGGAGAAAAACAATTGTCAGGCTGTGCATGACGGTTAGCCAAACTCACAAGAAACTCAATAACATCAGCAACTGCTCATGAAGATAGATTGACACATCTTGACAAAAAGGACTTCCTCCTGGTAACATAACATCAAAACTTACTGTAACTCCACCAAATCCTCAGAAACGGCAGAAAAATGTTCTTCACCTATGATCCCAAGTCGGACATGTTGGATTGTGGTAGAACAGTTTACTGCATATATCCCACTTTTGCAAGAGGCCTTTATGATCACTGACCAAACACAATAGCCAATAACAGCAGGGTTCTTATTTGCCCACTGCCGACAATAGATGCATATCACCCCACCACAAGAGTTTACCTGTTCTGGACTGCAAACAATGGCTCAGCATAAAACTGTGCCATTGATTTGAGGGTCTAGCCTTGGGTGTGTAGAGCAGATCGAGAGACAACACAAAAGCCTAGAGCAAGACCAGGCATTCTACCCATTCAACCCACTGGTGACCATGATCCCTTTGAGACAGAGTATGTATGTCTTTGAGATAAAAGTATGTCTTGAATCTACAATCCTGCTCCACTCATATAAAAAAAAATTTATAGCAAAAACCAATCCTTTCAATAGCTGGCTTCCACAAAAAAAGCACTGGCATTTGGAACCAAAAGACATAAACCCCTTCACTACAATCAAAAAACAAAGCAAAATAAACACAGAACTGCAAGCCTTGAAACAGTCGGCAGAGGTCGCCAGGAAATCCTGACTCAAAACACATGCCCCCCAAAAAGTTCCTCAGTTTCAACAATGAAAGTGAAACAAAGCATATCACGGGAAGCCCCTCCTCTAAACTGAATGGCGCTTGCAAAGCGGAAACGGAGTGTGACATCTACTACCACTACTAACATCCCCATTCCATGTCATGAATGCTGACAGAGATTTGGCTCAATGCCCAGTGAAATGATCCAAGCCAGCATTGACTTTCAAAGCATGTTGTCTGCAAAATGTCACACTTTCATGCCGGGTCGCGTACCCCCAACAAAATGGAGGCTTCCTGCTTTGGTGGTCACTTTCTGGATCGTTGCCGCGCAACAGCCTTGATCTTTTCTACGTATTTTGTGTTCTGCTCCGAAACATATAATCCATGTCATGAATCATCATACGTACATGTGTCATATCAGTTATTACTCGATGTAATTGGTACATATTCCTGGAAGAATGCCAAGCTACAACCACAAGACTTTGTTTGGCAACTACACGCTCAAACGAACTGGAAACCAGTCCAACTCAAACCAGGATGTGGACACTCAAGTCAAACATTTCCACCTACGGGTCAATGTTCTATGGAAAACACCACTTATCATCAATAAACATACAGGTGCCAACTTTTCCAACATTTTGTCATGAGGGTGTTGAATGTTTTTCACACTACCGGGTCATATGTAAAAGCAAAAATGTACCAGAAACCAGACAGAGGTTTGCCTCAATCTTATTTTGATGTAATTCTCGCAAATGGATTTGAAGCACTCACTAGCACTGCGATGCTGGAATTAATGACGCGGAGAGAGAGGAACCCACCAACATGTGAAGAGTGGGTAAATGTACTTGCCTAAAATATTATAAAGAAACACATGGGAATAAAATGCATTACAAAATGAAATCTCAAAAAAAAAAAGCTCACAAATTTATAAAATTACATAAGGACAGAATCCCATGGCAGCAAGATAAAGCATGGTTAGATCCAAGTTATGCATGTATAAAGTCATGTTCATCAGTGGTCCTGGCAGCACAAGCACTCGACCATGATTTTTAAATCTACATTAATAAAAGTACCAAAATGGGGGTGCGTTAGCCAGTAAGCGGTCAGTTTTTAAATTATTAAATTTTAGTTTCAAATACATAGTCCCTCTGTCAACAGATTGATACTGAACAACTAGGAGTGGGTCTGCTTAAAGAAGGGGTATGATTAAAATGGCCCAATCAGAGGGGCTGTAGTATAACAACGACAGGCAGGAGATGTGAGAACTTCAATTGTACGCAGCAGCCTATTGGGTGTTTTTAAGTAGCTGGCATTATGTGAGCAATCTTTGAGGGACAATATAAAAGGCAGGAGAAGGAATAATTTGGATGAAAAAAGAATTGGGGAGGCATTTCAACGGGTTCAACTGAGACTTTGGTCCTTTCAAGCATACTTTTTTCTGAGTGTTTAAAGTCCCTTTGTTACAATCAAGGACATCATGGAAATTGGTTGTCGGGAAATACGCAATGAGCTGAGCTTTTTTTCCCGGGGACTTGAAGTTGTCTGGCAGTCCTGCCAAAAGTTCAAAAGCCTCTCACAGATGTAATGCCATTTGGGTAAAAATCATCCGAGCATCCAAGGGAAGGTCGGCCAAACTTTGTGGCACGTGAGAGAGCAATGGAATGCCCTCCAGATTATCAGCAGAGCAGCTACAACACGGCAAAGGCCAGTTTTAGATGACGCACATTTTCCGTGGCAATCTGTCAACAATCCAACCTTGGTCTCCGACATGTATCTACAATGAACCGACATGCAAAAACAGTTTGGAATACGTAGTTCTCATCTGCTCGTATCCATCATTCATGCCCTGAGCAATAATCAAGGTTGGTAGCTTTAAACGTACATCATGTACATGTACGTGTAACGTCTGTCTAAACTAAAACAAAGAACAGTTTCGAGATTTGCAAAACAAAAGCAAAACAAATGATCTCCTGATAAAATTCTTGGCCATGTGCCAAGCTGGAGAGAGCATAGTAGGACTTGGCAGTATGCCATGTAGTACATTTACATGTAATTGGCAATATGGTCAATTAGCAATTCATTTAGCCAGAACCATTCAAACCGACTTCCTCCAATAAGACAGACACAAAATTCTGGTCCAGACTTCTGTCATTTGAAAACAGAAACGCCAAATGTCACAAGGTGTTCACAAAATTTCTCAGGGGCAGGATAATCTAACCAAACTATGAAAAGCGCAACTATAAAAATGTATGTCAGCTGTATTCATGTTGCGTACTGATGTTCTTCGGCTAATTTCTGGCAAATAGGTAATGTGTGACCCGCTCTGCAAGAAAAGGTATTAAGTCGCGCAATACCAAAACACGAAATGGCCTGTTCTATTTAGAGAGGGCAAAATTTCTTCAAAGATGTGATTCTGTGTTTTTTTCCTTTAATAGCGTCTATAATATTTATATTTTCAGAATGTGTGGCTACCAACATGGATACTGAATAAAGATGAAATATTGATCATTCAGTAGGAAATCCTATATAGCATTGTGTTTCCAAGCACTACACTTAATGAGCTTTTTCTTTAAAAGTCCTTTTATTCAATCCAAAAATGTGGATCTACAAATGTCAATATA